CTCCTAAGGTCAGATGGGAGGCATGTGATCAGAGATGGCCCAGGATGTGACCTAGCAGGAGGGGAAGGTGACTAATTCCAGGTCTGTCAGTTACCTAGGTAACAGATCCCTGTTCAGACCTTACAATAGGTACCAAGGATGCTAATCACACAGAGTAATCTCCAGCAGCGCTAAGTGGGTGGGCAATAGGATCCTCATTTCACAGAAGTGCAAGCTGAGGCTTGAGAAGCTAAGTGACCTACTTAAGGAGGCATATAGCTAGTAAGGACCACAAGTGAGTTCTACCCAGGGCTTGCTTGTTTCATTCCCCAAACCAGTGCCCTGTATCCTGTTGGGGTGCCATCTGCTGTAGCAGAAGGATTAAGTTTAGCCCAAGGCACTGAACCACAACACAGGGTGTGGAGTGTCCAGGTTTCCTAGGGACACAGGTCTGTAGCAGTCTGAGTGGTAGAGCTTTCACCAGCACCAGGATGCTCAGGGAATACACCACAGTCCCCCACGGCCCAAGATAAGGAAAGGCTGGCCAGCCAAGCTCAGAAAGAGGAATCTGAAGGAGAGAACAAACTTCTTGTTTTTAAAAGATAAAAATTTAAGGTGGGGGAAGGGGAAGGGCTTGAAAGTTCTAGGAACACTAGCTTCAGTAAGAATACCAGGCCTCGGCCTCCCCAGACAGCTTGGAGATCAAGTCTTCAGTGCACTCTAGGCTGTGTGACCTTGGCTGAGTCCCTCAACTTCCCTAAGCACCAGTTTCCTTCCCCCTAGAATGGGATTATCAACCACACCCAGCCCAAGAGGGGCTGAGGATTGTACACCAGCCACTCTGCTTAGTTAGTGCTTAAGAGATTGTGCAGGGTGCCTGGTGCAGTGGCTTCAGGTAGGAGGAGGATCTAGAAGCAGTAAGGTGCCTGGGAAGGTGGCTCAGTGGTAGAGTGCTTGCCTAGCATGCATGAAGCCCTGGGTTCAATTCCTCAGTGCCACATAGACAGAAAAAGCTGAAGTGGCACTGTGGCTCAAGTGGTAGAGTGCTAGCCTTGAGCAAAAGAAGCTCAGGGACAGGGCCCAGGCTCTAAGTTCAAGCCCCAGGACTGGGAGGAGGAAGAGGAGGAGGAGGAGGAAGAGAAAAGAAGGAAGAAAAAGAAGAAGAGGAGGAAGCAGCAACAGCCAGAACATAGAAGAACATAAATGTTTATAATATATAAAAGTATATAAGTTAATAAGCATTACCAAAAACAACCTAGTTCAGGTATTTCAGAAGCGCCTACCATACAAATATATTAAAATGCTACTTATTACCTTTTCAAAAATGAAGTGGCTCTCTGGGCACCAGAGATCCCAGCTATTCAAGAGGCTGAGATCAGAGGATCAAGGTTCAAAGTCAGCTTGGTCAGGAATGTCTGTGAGCCGCTTATCTTCAATTAACCATCAAAAACCTTAAGTGGTGCTGTGACTCAAGTGGTAGAACACCAGCCTAGGGCAAAAGAGCTCAAGGATAGCACCCAGGCCCCAGAGTCTAAGCCCCAGAACCAGCACAAAAAAAAAAGAAAAATTGGCTCTTGTAGCTGATGAGCAATACCCTTTGGCTCTTATGGAATCAACATCTACAAGCCCCCACCTACATCTGACATTCTCTTCTCCACTCTAGCTAAGCGCCCAACAGTAACCTTGCCCATCATTCTGATGCTGCCTAGCCTAATTTTTTCTACAAAGTACTTAGCCTTTTCCCCTGTGCACATCTGCCAACTGGAAATCTCCCTCAGAACGTAAGCTCCAATCCCTGCCCATGTCAGTGCCTGCTGTAGAGCAGGTGCCCAAGGAATTAAAAGACCCAGAAAGTTGATCTGTGTTCCCAACAGAACACCCAGTGAGCTCCTAGGAGGCTCACCTGGTGAGAGGAGTTGCTCAAGACCTCACAGAAATGGGGAGGCAGCGGGTGCAGACCTCGAAAGCACCCCGGTGTCTTCTGCTCAGGTCTCTAGTCCACTCACCCCACAGACCAGGGCTGTGGACACCCCATGCTGATGTCAGGTCACACTGCAGTGAAGTGTCCATTCCCAGCCACTCCTCTCACAGGACATCTTTCAGATCCCCTAAACTGAGCCTTGAGATTCTAGGGCAACCCCCCTCAACCAACACACACACACACACACGCACACGCACACGCACACACATACCAGCCTGGCTGAAATGTTTATCTCAGCAACAATGCCAGCCTGTGGTTCTAAGCCAAAGAACTGCCATGATGCTTCCAGAGGGAAACTCCTTGTAACAGCCAGGGGCTTGAGAAATACACACCAGCTGTCCTCAGTGTCCAGTCATGGGGAAACCTCACCAAAACTCCATTTGTTGTTTTTAAGAATCGGACTTGGAGATCTGGGAGTGTGACTCAGTGGACAGGGAACTTACCTAGCTTACCTGAGGCCCTGGGTTCCATCCCTAACACTGCAAAACAACAAAGCAAAACAATCCAACAACTCAGAGAAAACAGAACTTGTTTTTTTGTGCCTGTTGGAGGGCTTGAACTCAGAGCCCAGGTGCTGTCTCTTAGCTCTTTCATTCAAGGCTGGCTTTCTACTCCTTGAACCACAGCTCTACTTTGAGCTTTTTAGTGGTTAATCCAAGATAACAGTCTCACTGACTTCCCAGCCCTGGCTGGCTACAAACCTAAATCTTTAGGATTTTATACTCCTGAATAGCTCGGATTACTGCGGAAGCCACCAGTACCTGATTGGCTCATACAACATTCTTATTAGGCTTGGGGTTCAACCCTGTTTCTGGCCATAAATGCCAGCTGCAATTAAGGAAAGGTCATCTCTAAAGCACCTCTCCCCTGCAGCAACATAGCAAGTGTTAGAAAACAACTACCCACAGACCTAAGACAGATGATTCCAGGCTACATATGTCATTAGGAACCTGTCATCTGGGACACAAGAACGGAGCCTGAGTAGATACAAAACAAACAGCTCCATCTCCACTCAGCCACCTTTCAAATTTACATAGTAACAACTTCCATCCTCCTTAACACTCAGCCTCTGCTTGTGTGTGTGTGTGGTGTGTGTGTGTGTGTGTGTGGTGTGTGCTCATGTGTGTGTACTAGGCTTGAACTCAGGGCCTGGGCAATGTCCCTAAATTTTTTCACTCAAGGATGGCGCTCTACCTCTTGAGCCATAACTGGCTTTTTGGTAGTTAATTGGAACTAAGACTCTTACTGACTGTCTTGTCTGGGCTGGCTTTGAATCATGATCCTGAGATCTCAACTTCGTGAGTGGCGAGGATTACAGGTGTGAGCCACAGGTACCTGACTTCCACTTATGTTTTAGTCAGGGAAAATGTTACCAGGACACAGCTCAGGAGAGTGGAGACAAACAGATAGAATCACAACTTGTAGGAAAGAGTTCCTAGGGCTCTGACAGGTGATTCAGCAAGCTTGCAACAAGAGAAGCCTAGGAACGAAGCTCTCCTCCATGAAAGACCTCACTATCTAAGCTAGGAACTTCACGGACACCACTTTTGAACGATCACATCCTTGCCTGCCACTGTGATTATGTCCACTGTATAGATGGGTAAACTGAGTTCCAAAGATATAAACTAACTTGCCCAAAGACTCCTATCGGGTTTTGTTTACGAGCTATTTACTCTGACCACGCACCAATGGCTCATCCCTATAATCCTAGCTACTCAGAAGGCTGGTATCTGAGAGTCATAGATGGACACTAATCTATTAGGGCAGGAAAACTTCTGAGACTCCTATCTCCAAGTAACCACCAAAAGGCTGGAAATGGAGGTGTGGGTCAAGTAGTAAAGTGCCAGGCTGGAGCAAAAAGTGAACGACAGCACCAAAGCCCTCAGTTCAAGCCCCAGGACTGGCACGAATACACCCCCCCCCACACACACAAAAGCATCCACCACCAGTGGCACAGGGGGCATCTGGGGTACTACCCAGAAAGAAAGAATTACCAGGCAAGGAAGTCTGTCAGATCCTTAGCTGGTAAGTTCCCCTGATAGGTATTTTGTGCCGGGTTTTGGAAAAAGATCAGCTTCAGCACCGAGACTAACATGCATGACCACAGCTCAACCCGCTCCCCGGCTTTCTCTCACCTGTGAGGACAGATCACGCCTCACCCCGGGGGTGATGTACGGCTTCCAGGAAACAATGTATGCAAATCTCAACACAGCAGGTGAATGATAAATTATGAATAATAATGTGCCCTCCCCCAGCTTTCCTAGGGAAAAAAAAGAAGTACTGAGAACTTCAAATTGATGAAGCCAGAGTCTTTGCGGAAAAGCCTTTAGGTGTCCATCTAAATTACTTCCTCTTCGGATCCAACCGGATCCCTCGCGCTACCCACACCCCCAGCTCTAACGTGGAGTGCGGGAGGGTGGAGATGGCCGAGACCCATCGAGATGGGCTGGGCTGGGCGCCCGCCAGGAACAAGGTAACAACGCCTTATCACTGGGGCGGGCGGCGAACCAGATGCAATCAGATCCCAGCGTTTGTGTCTCCAACCGCGGCGATTTCTCTCTGCATCACCCGGAGTTCAAGTGTGCGAGAAACGCGGCCTTCTCGGGGCTCCTCGCACAGGCAAGGGGCCGACGTCCCCGCGGGCGGCGGCGGCGGCCACCGGGCGGCCTTCCTCGGGACTTCGTGCGGTGCCGGAGGGGCCACAGGTGCGGGCTCCGGGGGCCGCCTGCAGCTCGCGCCCCGCCGAGCCCCCCGTTCCCACGCAGGCGCGGCCTTGACCTCTCGCTGCAGCCCAGTCCGTGGGAGGCGGGGGAGGGGGCTCATACCCCAGAGCCGGGGAGCCCCGAGATCTGCCCCGATGCCGACAAGCTGCAAGTCCGCGTCCCGCGCGCCCCCCGGCTGCGCCCGGGGCTCCGCGCGCGCGGCCAGAACTTTGCCACCCGCGATGCCGGCCCCGCGCACCCCGCGATCCGGGTCCCGGGCGCTCGACCCCGGCGGTCCCCAGCCACCTCGCGCCCTCCCCGGCCCTGCGCGCACCTACCCGGCTGGCGGGCGTCGTCATCCGCTCCCGAGGAGGGCGCCCCGGCGCCGAGCCGACCGCCGGGCCCCGGCGCGTACGCGCACGGCTCGCAGGCCGCGGGCCCCGGGAGGCGCGCGGGCCCGGCCCCCGGAAAGCAGCTCGGCGCCGGCTCGCCCTGCGCCGCCAGCTGCCGGACGCGCTCCCAGGAGCCCGCGTCGGCCGCCCGCATGCCGCCTACCCGGGGGGCTCCGACGGCGGGCAGCCCGGCTCGCAACCCCGCATCCGGGCGCCGCCGCGCGCTCCGGCCCTCGGCTCTCCGTCCGGCCGGACGCCCGGCCGTCCGCGGCCGCCGCACGCGAGGAACCGGGCCGCGAGCCCTCACGTGGGAACGACTCCAGTCCCGCCGCGACCCCTCCCGCCGCTTCCGGGCTGGCTGGGGCCGCCGGCCCCGCCCCGCCCCTGCCACGCCCCCTGCGCAGGCCGCGCCCCCGCCGACCGCCTCTGGCCACCCCTGGCTGCGCCGGGCCGCTGGCTGCGCCCGCAGCCCCGTCCGGCCCCGAGAAATCAGAGGTCAGGGAGGAAGGTGGTGGGTGCCCCGGGGTCGGAAGTGAAAGGACGCGACCCCGAGTGAGTGCACGGGGGAAAGGCGGCGGCCCCGCCTCTCCCTCTACGAGGTGGCCAGGAGAGGGCAGAGGGACTGAGCCGAGAAAGGTGACAGCCTGAGCCAGACCTTTCCTTCAGTCTTTGCTCCGAAACCCTCCCTCCCTCCCTTCCTTCCTTCCTTCTTTCCTTCCTTCTTCCTTTCTTCCTTCCTTTCTTTCTTTCTTTCTTTCTTTCTTTCTTTCTTTCTTTCTTTCTTTCTTTCTTTCTTTCTTTCTCTCTCTCTCTTTCTTTCTTTCTTTCCCAGTACTGGGGTTTAAACTCAGAGCCTGAGCTGCCCTTCAGCTTTTACACTCAAAGCTGGCACTCTACCACTTGAGCCACAGCTCCACTTCCAACTTTTTGTTGATTAATTGGAGCAAGTGTCTTGTGAACTTTCCCACCCAGGCTGGCTTTGAACCATGATCCTCAGACCTCAGCCTCCCAAGTAGCTAGGATTATAGGCAGGAGCTACTAGCACCATGCTGGGCCCCCCATTGCCCTTTAGGTGAATGTGCTACCTCCTGTCCTCATTAGGGAGTGGGGTGGGGATAAACCCCCAGGGCCGGCTGTGTCTGTGGTGGGAACCTCTATAACCACCTTACTTCCAGATCCTGTTTCCCAGCCTACAAAACTGGGCTTAGATAATTCCTGCCCTGGTGTTCTTGTGTGTGTGTGTGTGTGTGTGTGTGTACTCTGACACTGCGGTTGTGAGCCTGGACTGGGGAGGAGGGGAGGGGAGGGAAGAGCTCCTCTACCAGCCCCTCCTCCTGGGAGGCAGCACCTTGGAGGGTCTGCAAGTTCCAGCCCACTGCAGGAGTGGGTGTTGAATGGCGGCAGATACACCCATAAAGTGGAGCCCCCTTTGATCTGGGGATTACAGTGCTCCTTCAGAAGGCCTAATTATCTCTGCACAGTTCCCAGGGGGCGGGTCTGGTCCCCCACTATGGCAGACAACCAGGAGGCAAAGCCATGAAATCAGGTGAGTTGGGGCTCAGTCCTGGGCCTCCAGCTCCCACCCCAGACCCATGGCTCTCTAACACGTGGCTCCTGCCAGCCCAAACCTGAGCTGGGGAGACCTCCAGATCACACATCTATGCCTCTCCAAAAGCCATGGAACCACATTTCTTTTCCTCAAGTCTGAACCCTTTCATAGTCCCTCCCTCCACCCCTTCCAACCAACCACAGTGACCTGGGACCAGCTGTGGAGGTTAGGTGGGCATACCATGTGTGGCTGGTGTCCTCAGATGTGGGGACAATTGTCCCATGCCACACAGGAGGAAGGAAAGGCCCACAAGTACAGAAGCACTGAGATCCCCAGGCCTCTGCCTTTGCTGGGATAAAGGGCAGAACAGAGCAAAAGCAAGATGTCTCAGAGGCCTCAGGTGCGGACTGGCTGTGGATCCGGGAGACACGCGGTCCTCAACTCTGCCTGGAATGACTCCGGGGACCCACTGGGGACAAAAATGAGTGAAGTAGGCTGTGCCAACCCTCCTGCTTATAGTTGCATTCAGAATATGTTCTTTTGGCTTAGACTCCATTTTTTTTTCTGTCCGTGCTGGGGCTTGAACTCAGGGCCTAGGCACTGTCCCTGAGCTTCTTTTGCTCAAGGCTAGCACTCTACCACTTGAGCCACAGCACCACTTCTGGCTTTTTTCTGTGTATGTGGTACTGAGGAATCAAACCCAGGACTTCATGCATGCTAGGCAAGCACTCTACCCCTAAGCCACATTCCCAGCCCAACCATTTGCATATTAAATACATAAGAACATGCTTTTCCCACCCTTTCCCTACACTTTCAGAAGGACCTGGAACCCTTAGTCAACCTTCTATTTTCCAACTCTTGAAAGACATAAGCGTTTCCCCTTTGACTGCAGGAAATCACAGCACAATCATGATAATGTGATGGTGGTCCCTTTGATTTGGTATTGGGGGGACATGAGGGAGTGCTGGGGACTACAGCAAATAAGATGACATCACTTCCTGTACTGGGCCACAGGGTATCGGTTTCTGATTTCTTTTTCTTTTTTTTACTCTTTCTTCTTTTTTTAGCTATAGATTTTTTTTTAAATGAAAAATCTAAGTTTGGATTGTTGATGATTCTAAAACTGAAGAAGGCTGGGGACCTAGCTCAAGTAGTATATCCCTTGCTTAGCAAGCTGGAGGCTTTGCGTTCAAAGCCCAGCACCTTCCACCCAAAGCAGAGCAAAACTTCAGAAAGAAAAAGGGGAACAGGAGGAAAAGGGAAAACAGCTTCCCAAGTAAGCATGCCTAGAAGTTTCTGCCTAGTCTGCCCCGCTACCTTGGTGGATTCTTTACCTTACAGACCTCTTGGCCCTATTGTGCTTGAGTCCTACAAGAGTTCACAGGGTCCATGTCTCATCCTAGGAAATTTCCACTGGGATTCTTACTCAGCAAAGCCAGGTCCTGCTTCGTGTGTGTGTGTGTGTGTGTGTGTGTGTGTGTGTGTGTATGATTGTCCCATATGGACAATCAGAATATCAGAGGGCAAGCTGGGTGCCAGTGTCTCATGCCTATAAAGCTAGCTACTCAGGAGGATGAGATCTCAGGATCTCAGTTCAAAGCCAGCCCGGGCAGGAAAGTCTGTGAGACTCTTATCTTCAACTAGCCATGAGAAAACTGGAAGTGGGTGCTGTAGCTCAAGTGGTAGAGCGCTCACCTTCAGCTGAAGAGCTCAGGGACAGTGCCCAGGCCCAGAGTTCAAGCTCCACAACTGACAAAAAAGAAGAAGAATATCAGAAGACAGCTGGGTCCACCTTCTCTAGTTTTCTGGGGGTCCCCAGACAGCCCCAGCTTCACTCAGCCAGCTGCAGAGCTGCAGCCCCTCACATCTCCCCCCTCCGCCTGCCCTTATAAACAGGCAGACAGGCTTCTGGCAGCCATGGAGGCCCTTTATGATCTCCATCTACCTGGGTGGGGAGTGATTTCTTCCTTGAGGTAACGTTTTTTGAGTGCAAGGACATTCTAGACCTGCAGGAAGACATTCCTGCAAGACCCAGCAGCCAGAGAACTGACAAAGCATTTCCTGCTGGGAGCAGCCCGGGCAGGTCCCACACCAAAGACCAGTCCAGGGTGGGTCTCCCCAGTGCAGCCAGTGCAGGGGCTCCTCTGTGAGATCACCAGGGCCTGTGTGGCTAGCCTGCCCTTGCCTTAAAGTTGTTCTTATTTCTGCAAACCAGGGGATGGATGTCGCGGAGCCCCGGGGTGTGCGCATGACTTAGGAGCTCAGCTTGCTGCAGACCTGCTGGGAACTGGTGTTGGGAAACTCTGGGTCTGGGGTTTGGCCTCCACCATGGTACTAGTGAAAGTGAGGATTTAGAAATCAGGAAAGGGAGCTAGGACGGCCCCAATCCAGCCCTTCCTTGTGGCAGCTCATTTTTATTTAGTTAGTGAATGACTGCACTGGGGCTTGTGCCTTTGCTTGACTTTGTGTGTGTGTGTGTGTGTGTGTGTGTGTGTGTGTGTGTGTATGTGTGTGCCTATCCTGGGGTTTGAACTCCTGTGTGCTGTCCTTGAGCTTTTTTTTTTTTTTTTTTTGTGCTCAAGGCTAGCACACACTTAAGCCACAATTCCACTTCCAGCATTTTGGTGGTTAAAGAATCTCATGGACTTTCCTACCTGGGCTAGCTTTGAACTGCATTCCTTAGATCTCAGCCTCCTAACTAGCTATGATTACAGGTATAAGCCACCAGTTCCCAGTGTAGCTACTCATTTTATGTATGTATGTATGTATGTATGTATGTAGTCAGTTGTGGGGCTTGAACTCAGGCCCTAGGTGCTGTCCCTGAGCTTTTATTTTTTGCTCAAGGCTAGTGATCTATCACTTTGAGCCACAGCTCCACTTCCATTCTTTGAGTGGTTAACTGGAGATAAGAGTCTCCCAGGAACTTTTCTGCCCAGGCTGGCTTCGAACCGTGATCCTCAGATCTCAGCCTCCTGAGTAGCTAGGATTACAGGCTTGAGCTACTAGTGCCCAGTGTGGCAATTCATCTTAAAGAGCAGGGGCCTGGGCTAGTGATGTGGCTCAGTGGTAGAGTGCTTGCCTAGCATGCATGAAACCCTGGGTTTGATTCCTCAGGACCACATAAACAGAAAAGTGGTGCTGTGGCTCAAGTGGTAGAGTGCTAGCCTTGAGCAAAAGAAGCTCAAGGACAGTGCCCAGCCCTGAGTTCAAGCCCAAGGACTGGGGAAAAAAAAAAAAAGAGCAGAGGCCTTAGTGGGAAGTGGAGGGTGAGGGGACAGATCAAGCTCTCTAGTCTGAAGTGGGCAAAGCAAACAAGAGGACCGTGGGGACACGGGCTCAGTGGTTCTGTGGAGGACGTCCTGCAGATCACAGGACAAAACTACAAGGCATAGTTGGCTGGAGGAAATGAAGCCTAGAAACATCCCCTTTAGAAATGGTGGTACATTTGGTGTCTGGTGTAAGTTGGCTGTTGGAGCCCACTAGAATTTTTTTTTTCCTTCAGGTTTTTGTTTGCTTGGCTGTGTTTCTTGTCATAGAAAATGTTTTACTGTGGTCTTCTGGCCAACATGTGACCACAGTAACTGCAAACGCCTCCAAGACTGAGC